ACACCTAACTTTGTAGATTGGGAGGTGTAATATTTGTCATATGTAAATTAGTTCGTTAGTTCGCTCGCTAACCTACATCATGTGTACATGTTGAGTTAAATAAACTACAGTCTACCACAGAAGAGTCAATTTACAGGAGGGTAAAGGGAAAATTGGCCCTTACTGGAGTCGGTTTGGTATTATGGAGAATAGTACAGAGCAGACCAGTGCGAGATATGGGCAGGTCTGAAAAGACTGCTGGCCACGGAAGTGGACAGCGGTATATCCATGAGTGTTATAGGTTCCACGCCAGGTCGGGGATAGGGTGGGTGGGAGAATTAAACCAGTATGTGTCCGTGGTTTGAATCGGAATGAACAAAGCGTGCAGATCACGCTCATGTATACACTGCAAGGCATTGTGGGATATCTATTGTTATGCTAATTTCATGCTTTATTTCCGGTAGTGAAAATAGTACAATATTTACTACAAAATAGTGTTAATTAAACAATAGAAAACAATAGAATTATCATAATTTAGCAGTATTTAGTGGCATTTATGTTGCACAGTTTTAGTGTTTGTACTCTATTTTCACATTATATTAAGTACATAAACTTGTGCATTGGTGTGATGTTTAGGTCTGGTTAATATTATGTCATCTTTGCTCAAGATTATTTTAAAATTCCACAATAAGTTATAAGCTTAACTACTAGAAAATTCACTATCAAAAAACCCAAGACAATCCAAAGTAAAAATAAATTTTGATAATATTATGTAAGCATATAGCACATTTAACACAAAGATCGCATCAGTTGTGTGGTTGTTATTTTTATAATCTTGAACTTCTTTTTTTAATCTGTAATTATAATTGGCATCAGTTTGAATACAGCAAAGATTCAACATATTTTGATGATTGTTTTTGAGCTTTTTACCATCACAATTGCAATCTGTTCTCTGACATGCAATGTAACATGCTAAGTACATATTGTTCACGTAAAAGATTTCTATATCATTGATCATAATTTTCAACAACCAAATGTATCTGTTGGCTGTTTTTTAGGTATGAAGATCAAGATCTTGTATTTTATTTCTCTGTACAGTGAGATAGCTTTAAATCTCTTTAGTTTGATATTCCTCGTAAATGATTCTTTATTTTGTGCTTTTAGCCTTGCAATATTTATTATTGAATCAAGCTTGATATCAAATTTCATTCTGGTAGTATTATAGACCATTATAGGGACTAACGAACCCCCCATGCCCCTACTCTATGCATATATTGAAACACACAGATCACTGCCTGGGACGTTTCACCCTGCCTGCAGGGTTTCATTTTATAATTAAGAAATAAAACATGTTTTCCGTGCCTTCATAGCGCTATGAAAACCTCGGCGTTTGTTTGGTGAATTCTCGAGAAGACGTGACGTTTTCTTCGCAATCTTCGGTCTCTATCCTTAAGAAGGAGACAGAGAACAAGTCTAGCACTGATTTTGTCCACACAACGACGACATCGTCCAAGAAGAAGGAAATTAGCATGGGTTTATCCTAGACCTCAGTTCTGGTTTGAGGAGATTTTGAACAACAGACATTTGGATCATTTGTGGCGAGAACATTTTAGAGTGAGCAGAAACACATTTGATTTCATTTGTAGAATTGTTGGTC